TAAATTTGTGAAAGCTGTAATAAGTTTGTGGCCAAAAAGGTATTGTTAAAAATAGGCCCTATTGACAATTTCTATCGTTCAAAATTATAGGGATAAAATAAGGCAAATTTTTACAATGCGCTATAACTTAAAATTCCGCAAATTGACTTTCTACTGCTTAACTAGGCCCCAATCTATCCGAAAATCGAAACAAATCCCTAGGAAAACTATTTTAAGTAGCCCGCAAGACGTTGAGTTCAACCCTAATTTTGCAAAAAAAACGCGACATTGCCGTGGTTAAAAATAGCGTTACACGGCCCGTCACGCCAGTGTTACCAATAGATATGCTTTAAACAATTTACTTAAAGGCAGATTAAAAGCCAGTTCGAAATTAAATCTTTCAATAAACCTATTATTCTCATTGATTGCAGCATTTTCTTCAGATACAACATTTAGGGTCCCTGGGATAGCGTCACACACTTTCATGTTCAGTTTCAGACTGGTGATTTCCCTCAAAAAATGGTATATAAACAGATAAGAACAAAATCAAAAAACTAAAACTGATTGCTGAATGAATTTTTGCATTGAGAGATATTTGCGAATTAAATCATCGCCAATCAATGCCATTTGGTTTATAAAAACTAATTTCCTTGAAGCAATCTTAAAGAACAAAAATAATTTAGACTAAGTATTGGTGCAATAGTTCTCTTCGAAGTTTTTACCCTTGCGGGCTCTCAAAACTGAAAAAAAAGCTACATGGATGCCAAAGAGGAGCATATACTTGTATGACAACGTGTATGAATCATGAAGCTACTGCATGACTATGACCCATTAAAACAAACTAAGAGGACTCTTTGGTGCTTTGCCAGGCTTACCATAAACTCAGTTTCAGGTTACTTTCGACGTTTCGGTGGAAAATTCCTGAAACAAACGAACGTCTGAAAAGGCAATCGCCTATTTTCTTGGTTGGAAACTTCCAGGCGGAAGTTCGGATTTCATTTCTTCAAACCTTTTTTGAATATTAGTTTCAGGCTTTCGCGGCCGTTTTGCATTAACGAAACTGACTTAGGAAAATGGTAAACGCGATTACCGAACGGAGTCAAAATTAATCAGTCCTGAATTCTCCTCACCATTTTCCCAAACCGTGAAGCGACCGGTTTACCAATGTAAATAGTAGAAAAACCTTGATGCCAAGAGCCTGCGATAGAGCTTTCTCTCATCGCTATCTGCCGCCAGGGACATTTCGTCAAAGAGCAGTGAGAGGCGGACTATGCGTCATATATCTTAAGTACTTTGAGGGGCCTTGTTAAGTGCATAATAGATCGTAGCAAGGGCAGATCGTTGCAATATCTCTAATTACTTATTAAGAGACACTCAAGCAAAGAAAACTCGCTATTCCTCTATCCCAGACAAATGTTAAGAAAAATAGTTTTTTTGGAGCAGTTCTTTGGAATAGCCTTCCTATATATTGACCAGCAGCAGGCGAAGTCTCTTGGGGTTTTAAGGGCCGGCTGCAAACAATTCTTCTGGAGATCTACACGGTACTTACGTAAAGCGGACTAGGGCTTTCAGTCTACTAGTATTCGGTTTGTGACAAAGACAAAGGTAGGGTTTTGGAGGCCTGCTAGGGCGTCTAAGTTTCATGGACTAAAGTTACGGAGGATGAGGAAAGTCCTCAAGTCTGTCTTTCCTTTTTAGGTGTTCCCATTCGTTCGTTACAAGGTTCTTCTTAGATTTAGTATTATACTCTATTTTGTTTCCCTATTTTTATTGTTTTGTTTTATGTTTTTTTTTTGGCGGAAAACACTATGTTCTCTTTCCAAACGCTATTGAAAGGAACTTTCAGTCTTTTAACCTATCATGTGTAGTTCAGTATTACAGCTAGAGTTTCCATGACACTAAAACGTCAATCAGTGGAAAGTCTTTCAGGCCACAAAGCAGCCCGTACTTTTTGCGTAAGCCTTGAAGGCGGAATAGTCGAGGTAATGGTCAGGAGCCCTCTTCCCTCTTGTCTGGAGCAGAGGGGGCACGGTGGGGGAGGGGAGAGATGAGTGAGACTGGGGAGAGAATCGAAAAATAAGTCTAAAAAATACAATAGAAAATGACAAAGAAAAAACAAAAGAAAGGAAACAAGAAAGACAAAAAGGTTTCGCAGTCTAAAAGCAGTTGAAAAGTTAGTACTACCAAATCCGTTCCTGCTGATCAATAACAAAGCGCCAAAAGTGCTCGACGCTCATGTTGAATACCGTGTTTATTCGAATAAGCGCCCAACCTCGAATTAGCGCCCACCTCGAATAAGCGCCCATCCTAAAGGCAGCAAAGTTAATAAGCGCCCACCCCCACCCCACTTCCTCCCACACAAACTCAAATAAGAGATAATAAGTAATAAAGAGACCCTCCCGAAGACGGAGTTTTCTTCAGAGCATTTTACAGAAACCTTGCTTTGTTACATCTCCGCTTTTTGTTATTACCATTTATTGTTTTGCTGCAAAACTAACATACTACACTTGCTGAGAATGGAGAAAATTTAATAAGTGCCCAGCCTCGAATAAGCACCCACCTCGAATAAGCACCCACTCTCAAAGTCCAAAAATTTAATAAGCGCCCAGGGTGGTTAATCGAATAAATACGGTATATACCATAAAAATTTGTAAATGAAGGACGTAGTTAACCTGTAACAGGCCTTAAGGTAGTTGGGAAAACGCAAAGAAAAGTGGGCTAGCAAAAAATGGCGAAGGGCGGGGTTAGCAAGAGAGGGCGAAAGGTCCTCCTACTCTCTCCCTCTTACTCTCTTCCACGTTTGTTTTCCTCCGTTCCCCATTTCGCGCCACTGTCCACTGTCCCACTATCCACTATCCACTTTCCACTGTCCACTAAGCCTGGAAGAGGCTAGTTCATATTGGGCCAGAGAGTTTTTTTTTCCAATGGCGATGCAAGGGATCTATAGATGTCCATTTAGGAGCATTTGCCATTTTTAAAATCACGCTGCAACTATTCCTGCTTTAGCATTAGTAAAACGACACTTTTTTTTTTTCTATTTTCCGTTTTGCTGTAGAGGACATTTTTTGGTGATTTGTTTTTGATGATGGTGTTTCATCGTCGATCGAAACGAGTTAAAATGTTTTCTGAAACGTTCGTTACAATGTAACTTTATAAGCGTAATAGTACTACATCGAAACGTACGTTTATACTTATACATAATTACTTGAAAGAGAAAACTCGCAAGAAAAAAAAAGAGTTCTAATTAGTTAATATTGGTTATCCTCGTCTTAAATTTAACGTATTTATGCCTTTTGACGCATGCTTGAATTAATAAAACACACCACTGTACTTGTTTAAAGTTTGTTCTCGTTGGGCTCCGGTCGTCGACGTCTTGCGGATGTCGCTCAAAAAAGCCGACTTTTGGGCAGTTCTACACTATATATTGTATCCAAACAAAATGACTCTTCTAAATAAGATAAGTGTATTGAAAGATGTAATATAGATTGTATGCTGGAATTTGGCATGTGATCAGCGTTGAATAGAATGTTGAAAGTGAATCTGTCGTTAACACCGCTGACGGGCCGTGTCACGCTATTTTTAACCACTGGAATGTCGCGATTTTTCGCAAAATTAGGGTTGAACTCGGCGTCTTGCGGGCTACTTAAAATCGTTTGCCCAGAGATTTGTTTCGATTTTCTGATATATTGGGGCCTAGTTAAGCCGTAGAAAGTCAATTTGCGAAATTCTAAGTTATAGCGCATTGTAAAAATTTGCATTACTTTAACCCTATAATTTTGAACGGTAGAAATTGTCAATAGGGCCTATTTTTAACAATACCTTTTTGGCCACAAACTTATTACAGCTCTCACAAATTTATCGTCTTATAAGAAAGAAAGGGTCATAAAAACTATTCGTGTTCTACAAAGGCTGCTAAATCGTTGTGGTTTGACGTACGAGTCAATGGAATTTGTGTAAAATTTCGCCTTACCGGAAGTGGATTTTGAGCTCCGAACGGGCAAAATGAGTTTTCTCGAATTTTAACAAAAGAATACGTTATTTGGGAAAACTAACTACAGCATGTTTCATTACTCATTAAGGGTTATCGATGAGCCAAAAATGAGCAAATTCGAATTTAGAACTTGTGCCACAAAAAGTCGATTTTGGTCGATATTTACAGACAGTCGCTCTTAATAAAGTCCAGGAAAATTAAATCAAAATTTCCCTCTATGCCCAAAGCTTAAAATTAAACTAAAGAAAGACTTTATACCATACCTAGCCTGCATAACAAGCGTTTCCAATCGAGTTATTTCGCGAGTCATACCTCCCCCTCCCTCCTCTTTTTCCTCTTTTTTTTTTTTGCCCTCTACAAACTTAGTCTCTTGCACAAAACTCGTGCGGAAAAGTTTGCTACGCAGGCTATTTTTATACCTATTTAACCTCCAAAGTTATTATCCAGTCACAATAAAGAAGGGACAGCTCGGTATGTTTGAATGATTATTATTAAATGTTGAAACATACCCAGCTGCCACTGTGATGGCGGGCACGAAAATCAATGGAATATTTTAAAAATTATGCAGCCTGAGCCCCATTACGTATAGAACCCAGAAAAATCAACAGAAAGAGAAAAACATCCGTAGTCCTCAAACATCCACACTTTTTTGTTTGATAAACTGCACTGAATCCTATTCAAATAAGCTTATGTACTTGCTTCAGTAATATGCCCATCAAATTCTGGTACAGACATTTTTATTGAAATATACTGTCCATGAAAAAACATATATACAAGTCTTATATTATTTCATTACCTAAGTAGTTCTCGCAGTCAACAAGTATAACTGTTAGAAAAAACAGAGTTGGTTAAACTTGATGTTAGTAGGTTTTCGCATGGAGTTTTGACTTGAATTGCATTGTGAAATATAAGCCTGCTATTAGTTTGCAGAAATGCACGAGCCCTTAATTAACAAAAAAGGGCTTGATCTAATGGAAACTCTGCTATGATATAGCAAGATTTTTATAGTTTACTGAACCAGATTTAACAATCAGAAAAGCTCCCAAACACGACATAAGAGCCTGTTCGGAGTTGGTTTCTATAAGCTTAACATAGTAAAACAACTATGAAGTTTGAAGAGCAAATATTGCATGCATACAAAGAAAAGAATGACACATACCTTTTGAACAAGTTTGTGGTCTAAACTCTATCAAAGATAAGGGTGAAAATATTTGTTAACAAAAGCTGGACTGCTTCGTACAAAAAAGCAGCTTTTGGTTTCTTCAGATCTGCGTTGTTTGTTTGTTTGCGTGGGCGGAGAGAGTTTGCAGCCGCCAAAAACAGGGTGTCTTGCTTGGGTTCAGTCTTCCATCGTCCAATTTTTGAGTCATTGTTTTGTGTTGCTATCATTACATCGTATATTGATCGATCAAGGGGAAATGATCCACTCAAGATAAGAAAAAAAAAATTTTTCACTTCGAAAAAGTACATATTCCAGAACATTTTCAAAAATCATTACAAAACAGCAATTGCCATGATTACCAGCCTGTGTTCGGTATTGTCGTATAAATATCTTTAAAACAGTATTTAAAAACAGCGTTTTAATTTCCTTTCTTAATATCCCTTTCGACATAGGTGTTTGTAGAAGTAATATTCGTTGCATATCTGCTCTCACCTTTGACACCATTCAAAAGTGTTGTAAAAGTGTAGCGGTCGTATTTTGACTAATATCAAAGGTGTGGTCGCAGCCGACTTCATCTTTGACGTGCGTCATAGGTAAAGTCAAAGTTACCAGCATATTTGAAAAACGCCTTTGATAAGGGTTAAAGGAATAGTAAAGCATTGACGCATTTGACTTCATCTTTGACGCGCGTCAAAGGAGAAGTCAAATTTGTTACCAATTTGACTTCACCTTTACCGAGGTCAAAGGAGTACGCAAAGAGGTTATATATTTGGCGACATCTTTGACGCACGTCAAAGGTGAAGTCAAAGCCAATACCATATTTGACTTAACTTTTGACGCGTGTCAAAAGTGCAGTAAATCCAATTTTTCGTCCCGTGTTAGACGGCAGACCGTGTAATCTGCCTTGACGGGTCACCCACCTATGATGTAAACGTGATCAAATTAAAATGAGAGATTATATGGACAGGCGGTTTATACCCTGTCTAAGCGGGTTACCTCACCTATCTTGGGTCCCCCTTCTCCATGTAAACAGGGCCCGGTTGCATAAAACGACCGTAATAATGACGGGTATACGTACGCGTACTCGTAACTTAAGTGAGTTGCATTAAAATTAAATCACTTAAGTGGTCCACTTAGAGAATTCACTTAAGTGGCTGCACTCACTTCAAAAAATAGTGAGTCAGTAATATAAAGTACTTAAACCAAGTTACGTGTGCCCTTAAGTGAGCCGTAAGTTACCACGTGACCTGCTTAAAATGAGCACGTGAGTGCAGGTTTTATGTAACCGGGCCCAGGCCCTTAAAAATGAGCTGGTTTCACGTCAGGTTGATCCTTAAGAATTTATATTTTTGACATTTTTATCTGCTCATTTCCCAATTTGAGGAATACTGTAAGTTTACAGGAGCTCCTCACTATAAAATAAATGAATAAGTAAATGAATAAATAAATGAATAAATAAATAAATAGGTAAATGAAAAAATAAATGAATGATAGGGCTGTGAACAGTTTAATATTGAGACAGCTATTCTATGGTACTCAGCGTGATTAAGAATCGTATTTGCTTTAGGGGTAATACCTGGGAGGATAATCTGTTCCCAGACAACAACAACAAAGTCTTAAGCTCTGGACGCAAACCAGAAGAACCAGGTTCGAATTGGCGTGGGACATCCTCGGAGACCCAGGGACAGTCAGTCGGGCCGGGAGAAAAGGCGCGAAAAAGCTTTCAAGCATGGACGGAAGAGCCCCTGAGTACCTACTCTCACAGGATGATTTCCAAAAGGTCAGGCGAATGCTGGCTCCTGATAGGGCGCAAAAAAAATGCTTTGTATTATTGTGCCCAATCGGCGAACAGTTCCTCCTGAGTTCTTTTCGTGAGTTCGTTTACGACGGCTATAAGCTCTCTAATAGTCGTCGTGTACGAACAACGACGGTGACGGCTACGAAAATGTCACTTTAAAAATGAAGTCGTGCTGCTTCGAACTTTATCGGCGCTTATTCTATCTCGTTCATTTCGTCAAATGTTGGCAATTTTTTTTGGAGTTGAATTCTAACAGACTGTATCAATGTTCAGGAAAAGAAAAAGAAAGTCGTTGTCTTGTGTTCACGTCCCCCAAAAAACGTGAAATAAGGAAGTTTTACGTCGTAGTCGTGCAATGACGGCAAAAAAGTTGTTGTTTTGCTAATCTAAACCAATTTGCCGTTCTCATTGACATCGCTGTCGTCGTTGCTTGAGCTCCCTATTATCTCGCCACAGTTGCCCGGTTCGTTCACCCAGCTTTCCTGATCAGAAACGAAGGATTACTACCGGTGAGTCGAAAAACGTTTCGGATGCTATCAGCAGGAGCAATTCAATTTGCACTGAGAAAATTCTGTTTCTGACGGATCACAATGTATCGTAAATAATGGGAAGATGCAGCGGCGACGAGAAAGTAAAAAAAGTAATAGCTTGGCAAGGCAAAACAACAACTTTGCACGTGCATTACGCTTTTTTGTTCATTTCTTTGCCGTCACTGCATGACTACCACGTGAAAATGCCTATAATTTCACGTTTTGTGAAGGACGTAAACAAGCAAGGACAAAATTTTCTTACTCTTTATGAACTTGGATATGGCTGATAGAAATTCAGCTCCAGTAGGGTTCGCTTGCATTTGACAAAGTAAGCGAGTTGGAATAATCGCGATAGAGACTGAAAAAATGTGAATTCACTTTTCAGGTGGAGGACAGGGCCAGGGGGTCACAATCTCCCGTCTCCCGTACATTTTAGTCCTTTGTCTCCCGACTCCCGCCCTTTATTGTGTTTCTCCCGTTATCATGTAAATCACACTTTTTGACTCCCTATTCTAATTGGGAGGGAGTGTTTTGGTCTTGTCCAAAATAAAAAATTAAGTTGTAAATCGAACCACTCCGCCCTCTCTAGCGCGATCACTGAAGCGGCAGTCCTTCGACACAAGTTAACTCCTGGCGGTAAAATCTTCAGTGTTTTGTGAACTACAGTGGTACGGAGCGTGCTCCCAGGAAGGTCTTCAATGGAGGGATTTTTCCCCACCAGACCGAAAAATACTGAGACCGATCAAAATGGTCTTTGACGACATTTGAGCTGACTCGCTTTGTCGTTCTTGCGGAGAATTTCGACAGAAAGCGAGACAGACGAGACACTGACACGACTGACACAGTCGACACACGTGTACATGTGTCATGCCATCTCATTCATGTCCTATGATGTACGCGACTTGGAAAGGTTTCCAATTTCACCGGAAGTAATACTGTTTTTTATCCCGAGCACGAATTTTTCTCGCGTATAAAATTTTGCTTTAAGCCTCGGAGAACGTTTATGGGAGTCAAGAAACGTTGTTGGGTTCGTTTCTTGGACTGGATGTAGGCAGTAACAAATAAGGAAAGCTTGACTGTTTGAATTTCTCTCCCGCTTCCCGCCCTTTCTTCTCCTGTCTCCCGTACCCTTCCCGCCCCCTGTCCCCTCTCCCCTCACTTTTCATGCGACGTTTTCGTGGCTGTCAGCTGTCGTGACATCTTAAACTCCCTAATAAGGGTGAATACCTTTTGTAAGCTCAAGCTTGTATTTTTGGAAAAGCGTCTTTAGTTTTCGGGTAGACCGTATTTTGAAATGGAGAGTTCATATCAAACTGAAAGTTTCCTGACTGCATGCATTTCTTTGGTGCATGAGCCAGACAAGCCGTGATTGAGTTTAAATAGCCGTCGTGTACGAACTCACGAAAAGAACTCAGGAAAAACTGTTCGCCGATTGGGCACAATAATACAAATCATTTTGTTGTGCCCAATCAGGAGCCAGCATTGGCTTGACCGTCTGGAAATGGTCCGGTGAGAGTCGGTACCCAGCAGAGCGGATCCGCACTGGGACCCAAGGGCTTTTCCGCCTGTGCTTGAAAACGTTCGTCGCGCCTTTTATTCCCGCCCCTGGGTCTCCGAGGACGGAATTGGGGAGGAAAGCAGGGAAAGCAAAACTTTATTTCCACAATATTTCGCGAATTTAGCGGTTCTAGCCTGTTCCAGGCGTTCATATGGTGGAGAAGTAAGAATTTCTTTTTTCACTTTGCTTGAGTTTGACGAGGCTAATGAACAGTTACGATAGATAAACAAGGAAATATTTCGAGCTACAACAAATTGCTGTCTGTCCCCCTTGAACTAATGTCCTATTTCCATTTCTTTAGTATTTTGTTACAATAAGGTTGTATTTTTTTAATTTAAATAACGGTAACATGACCCACTTAATACGGACACTTTCTGTGTGTGTGTGTTTTTTTTATAGTGTCCGTATTACTGTCAAACTCAGAAAACCGTGAACACCTGAAAATTTTCAGGAATGTTGATTGTGTACCATCCTCCGAGACCCAGGGGCAGTCAGTCGGGTCAAGGAAGGCGCGACGAAAGTTTTCAAGTACGGGCGAAAGAGCTTTCGCCCGTACGTGAAAACTTTCGTCGCGCCTTTTCTCTCGGCCCGACTGACTGCCCCTGGGTCTCCGAGGATGGTTGTGTACTTGCCAATCACAATAAAGTTTAGGACACGCGAGCAAACTTCAAAACCACAAACTAATTACCGTTGCTGTTTGCGGTTTTGTTATCTCGCGCTCTATTGGCTTATTTTTCGCAACACAATAACATTCCATGAATATTTCTGGTGTTCACGGTTTTGTGAGTTTCACAGTAACAGGGTTTCACTGTAACATGTAGAAAAAAGAACCACTCACGATGGGGTGCTTACTTTATTGATTTATTGCAAATTTTTTAACCATTACAAATTACACTGGGTCCTGTCCGTACCTGCCTGAGATAGGCTTTCTTTCGACCAGCTAGAATTAAAACTATGTACAAGAATTACTTCTTGAGTAGTATAATAAATAGCTTTATAAATCCTAGAGTGAGTACATAAAACGCCAGTAATACCTCACTATACCCAATGTTTTAATGTTACCGACTACTTTCACACTGATGTAGCAATCAGATTAAGCGTGAACTGTATAAAAGAATCAGCTTCATGTGCACAAAATGGGCTGTGGATAAACAACCACAGGTTAAGTTAAACTCCAATTAAATTTATTATTTAAATAGAAACAACTTTCTAAGATATTGAGCCTTCTGAGAAACAATATGTACATACAAACTACTACAACCACAACCACAACAACAACAAAAAAATCTACCCCTTGTCGGACTGTTCCAGCAATCCAATACAAAGTCCAGACCCATAACTAGAAATACAGAACCTATCGGGAGACTGGTACGAGTGACGGATTGTGGGAACCGGGGAGAGCACGCATGACATAAGTGGGCACTGCTCAGTCTGATGTAAATATGCTCAGTACAACTAATATTTCCCTAACGTGTGGAGCGACCTTCATTAAGATAAACCCCGCCTCATTCCTACTTGATTCCCAATAGGCCATTTGCGTGATGACGTCATTTTACTGCTACAACAAGAATCCTTCACGGTTTAGCTGTCTTGGTAAATTAGAGCTTTTGTTATTGAGCCCTCACTGATGTTACCAAGTTTAACTATGAAAGGAAAAACGTTATAAATGCTATATTTAAATACTAAATTTCCCCTTCGACCAAAAAAGAAAGGGCACTAAAAATAAGCAGTTTCAGAAAAACTGTCGTGGTCTATCTCTAAACCGACTGCAGGACTTAGCGGGCTATTCACGTTGTAAATCTCTGACTTTCAAAGGTCACACACTCGGTTAACATTTATCTAAATATTCAACGGAAGTGAAGTTTCAGAAGTTTTGATTAAATAGCGAAAAAAAACAAAACAAATATTACCCCCACGGCAGGCCCATTGTAATTCTAAGGGCTCACTGCAACCAAACATAGATTTCTTACAAATCTACCAACATTCATCGGTTTTTCGTGATCATCGTTGTTAATTTTCACCATAGCAAGCATAGCTATAACTTGACAAAAAATTTGGATTACAAATCGGGGTACTGACCACGTGCTGTGTTTAAAATGGCATTATCCTCAAGTGGAAAAAATGTTGCCGCCTGCGAACAGGCTCTCTATTGGGAGGGAGACCTCATTGGGAGCCTGTTCATAGGCAAAGCCTTATGCAAATTTTCTTTAAAAGAAGCTTAAGGCAACAGGAAAAGCCCACTAGCAAGATGTGGTTTCATAAACAGCCCCCATCTCATTCTTGTCATTCTTATCCAAAAAACGGCGCATAACGGCATTGCGTTTTCGGGTTTTAAGGTTCATGTACTTAAAAACGAAAATGGTGTTAATACCAGAAATCCTACCATGACTACTCTTTTCAAAACAAGGAAATGTTAAACGCTTTAATAACAGGAAATGGTTGCACGAAACTATACTTCCTCTAAAGATTTAATACATTTCCGAAAGCTAACCATCATAATTTGTACTTAGGTGCATTGTTATTAATGAACATTTTTGTTACTTCTATTTTCTAAAGTGCTACGCAGCTTAACGGAAATTCTTTCGTCATTTGTTGTGCATTGTTATAGCCTGCGAACGCAGACAGGGAAAACTGAAGGTTGAATTTAAGTGCATGAGTGCGGCTTTCAGTGGAGTCTGGTAAGAGTAACACACAAAGTAATTGCATTTGTCAAGCAATCACAGAAGGTAGAAAAAACGAAAAACAAATCGCCAATCGCCAAGTAAGAAGCAAAGAAAAAAAACGCGTGAAGTAAACTACAATGAAAAATACAAAGCGATTGCGAAGTTTGATCAATGCTCCATTGAAAACCGCTCTACAGGCTAGCATAAGTTAAACTTTTTTTAGAACACCGCAGTTTTCAATACAGCATTACTTGAGATTTATGCAACCTCTGGACCAAAGTCCTCGTACAGGGGGTCGTGCATGGATATGTCGTTGTAGTAAGCGGCTCGTAGTCTAGAGCGATGATGGTATTTCTTCCAGTACACTACTACTCCCACAACAATCAGGATAGCAAAAGCAGCTGCAGCACAAATACCGATGATAGCTGCAGTGGAAAGGCGACCTGATAAATGAAGAAACATAACAAAAACCCTTTACTCAAGTGTCCACGTATTGATTGATCCCCTGAACAACAAACTTAAGCTTTTGATTCAGAGCGGACACAATCATTACTTTATGTACCTTTCTAGTCTTTTTTTAAACATAACGTACTTTTCTAGTCACTGTCGTGGTTGTTGTTTTTCTTTCTTTTTCCTTTTTATGTTTAGTCTTAGTGATGAGATTTACATAATCCTTTAGTGAAAAATCGTACTTATGTGAACATCAATTAAAAAAAAAAAATAAAACAGGAATGAATAAAAAGACCATACACTACAAATCATTCCCATATCTTTCCCGATTCAAAACTTTGGGATTTCAATTCTATTTTAAAATACCTGATTTAAAAGAACAACCACTTCTTTTACATACATTTTTCCAACAACGTGGCCTTGTCTTACTCTTTTCCAAAACGAGGGAAGAGGAAACGAGAGAGAGATGCTGATACTCAAATCACTGAGGAGCCTTTGACGAGAGGATCAGTATCGCAATCACTAATAAAATTAATTTACCTTTCTTGTTGTCACCATCTCCTCCTTTCTGAGGATTATGGGTGCCATGATGTTGGGTACCTGGAGAAGGAAGAAATAGGCAAACAGTTTAAACTATTATGCAAAAGCAACTTAACAAAAACAAGAACTTTCCTCAATATGAAGGTACTTTAAAATTAACAAGAATCAAAGGAAACATTACAACCTTAATAAAACAGCTTCTTCTCAAGGTAGGCAAAGAACACAAAGGTCAGGGTATGGGCGAGTCGGTGTAACCACGGCAACAATTTTCTTTCTAATTTTTTGATTTAGTATCAAGGGGTTGGCATTCCAGATGCGAAAGAACTTTTACTTTAGTTCCTGTTAGTAACAATTATTTTCATAAAACTCCGCTTTTTGCCATTGTTTTTCGCCACCCTCATAACTTTTCTGAAAGATATGACTCAGGCATTAATACCTGCACCCAAGAATAGATGGAAAGCCTCAAGAGGAAGGAACATCGAAACTTCAAGAGTTTTCAAGGGTGAAATTTAAGAGGTTGACATAATTCATTCCCCGGCAGGAGGTAAAGTGCATCCACTGGATGCATCCACTGTATTTGATTTACATATATATGTATCTAGTTTGAAGCCGCTGATTATGTCGGGATTTTGCCAAGCTATTAGCATGTTTAAACTCCATTTACTGGTGACTGTTAGGTATTAGCCGTCAAAGAAGCTAGTTAGTTTTCAACGAGCCGTTAATTCAGTTCGGGGAGTTCAAGTGCGTATGAGGGATAATATGAAGATCACTTTGACGTTCACAAAGCAGAGCAAATGACAACAGAAACTATCAAGATATAAAGCAAACTCTAACAAACCTGGCCTGGAAACATCAAAAAAATGTTGAATCTGCCATGATTACAGTTTTCAGACAGAAAAAATACTGCATGATGATGGTGTCTTGTAGCTGATTTTTGATTAGCTTCTATTTACTGAGGTTTGCCTCTATTAATTTAGTATATGTATATCAAAACGGTTACAGGCAGCAAATCCGCCATGATATAGTGGAGTAGAAGATTGGTTACGGACTCATCGCCCTGGACTGATTTACATTTTTCTGTCTTGTTAAAAAATTGCAAGAACTCAGTCTTTCATGAAGATTTGTAGAGAAGAAACTTATAGAGAAGATGTAAGGTTAGACTGCGAGCAGTCTGTCTTTTTCTTCAGATTTAGTCAGGCGAAACGCGCGCGTGTCTCGCGCGTATGTTTTGCTCGACGGACCAAGAAAAAAGAGAGACCGCTCGTAGTCTAATGTAAGGTGTGAGTCAGAGGGAAAGGCAGTTTTTGCTGGATGCAATCAAAATAGCTCAATAAAATTGTAAGAAGCTAGTTGACACAATAATTAGATACTGTTTTATCGAGTGGAGTAACATGATATGAGTAGAAATATATTTCGGCAGTTTGATAATTTTCTTGGAAGTTAATAAATGTTAGGCTATCAACCTTGACGTTGCATGAAACATAATTTAATTGCAGATGTTGTAATGAAGCCGAGATGATTTCTTAAAACCGTTGAGAAAATTTTGTAGTAAACAATTTGCGTTTTTTCTACGTACGAATTGTAAAAGTGCCAAAGGCCAACATCTTCACGTGCAAATTGTGTGCATAAGTTATTTCTATAATTCTGTTTACTAGATTACTGTGTGATCACTCGAATTCCCTCACGTACGAACCACGAAAGGGGGCAAAGTCCAACACTTTCACGTGCCAGTTATGTGACTGTACATCTCATACAGATTGGCTTTTCACAATAATAATAGTAACTTGAACGTATGAAGACCCGTTTCGTTTTGTAACCAACAAGTTAAAAAAGGCTCTTGTCTTTTAAGAAGCAATAGCTTTCAAAACATGAAGAAACAAGACGCTACGGAGCGTACACTTCGGCGTCGTGATTGTGGAACTGATTAATTGTAAACGCGGTGGAATAGTAAGAAATGAAAAATGGTAAGAGTAAGGTGTTAAATTGTGAAATTATGGGATTTGTCAGGATATTCTGAAAAGAGCAACATCCAAGAGGCCTACTTGCCAAAAACTAGCATTTCGGGACAAATTGTCTCTGAGATATTAAGCCCAGTTATGCTCTGATGACTCCATACAAATCCTGCTAAATTTGACTTGGGTCTAAACGTTTAGACCTAAGTCATAACAAGTCTAACAAAACAAACAGTGAAAAAAGAATTCTCATTCTTAGTCACATAAGGGTTCAAAAACAGCATAGCAGTCTCATGTACTGACTAAAGATATGTAAGGCATGGGTAAGGAGTCAATTACGTTGAGCATGGAATTGGCTGTTACGAGTTCGAATGTTTTGAGGACATAATTAATTATTCACTGACTATCAGCACGCAGGAATGTCGGATTAACACAAGGAAGTTTAATACCAAAGGAACATAGCCTTTTCAGAGCTATAAAACACAGCATCCGCCAACACAAACTTGACTTGAACTTAAGTACAATTTAACAGCCTCTACCAATAATAACAAACTTTCGCTTGAACTTCCGATATCTTACGGCTTCCGCCAACTTGCAAACACAGAACTTGAAAATCGGCCTTCGTCACACTTGACTAAACACAGCAGTCCAGCTCGTGAGAAAAAAACTTAGTTCGTCATAAGACCTCGCTTGGAACTTGTATACCGTTTGACATAAGGTTCTAGAAAATACTAAACGGGCGAATAGTAGTAGCTTTTCGACATATTTTACGATTTCAGTAACTGATGCAAATCTGCTGACTCATCCTGAAATGTAAACATGCCCTAATTAATTATTCATGAATAATCCAAAAAAAGTAGAGAACGTTCGAGAAAGTCACGCAACGCATGAAAGCAATTTTACTACGTAACACTCAACAAAGACAAAATGTCTTTGTGTAGCATTTTGTAACTTTAAATTCATCATAGAGCAGTTCGAAAGGAGGGCTCACTCATGAAATGTTTTTCAACACTCGAAGAGAAATTTCGTGTCTCTAGGCGGCCACGTAATATCCTCTATTTATTCCTCGAGTAAATTAAAGACTAAACTCGAAGTGATCTCAAGATATCACAAAGTAGTCCGGTTTCATTTCGTGAAATAGCCGAAACAAGCCGAAAAGTCGCGAACTTGCACGCCCAATCTTGTCCCGAAACTAGTGCATAATTTCATAACTATTTTTCATATCCCGAACTACCTTGGGTCGCAGTAGCGCAATCGGCTAATCCCTCAACTTAGAGTCTCCTCTGACCTGACGGGTCACACAGGTGAGTCGGTTCAAACCCCGGGGAAGCCAAAATAATAATTCTTACTTCCTCGAAAAAGTTAAAGAATAAATCAAAGAAATCGAAGTGATCTCGAGATATCTCGAACTAATTCGGCTCTCACTTCGTCAAATAGCCGAATAAAACCGAAAACCTACAGACTTTGCATGCCCAATCTTGTTAAAAAACTTTGATACATTCCTGAGCGTCGCGAATCCTTTACTTCGCGCTCCGCCGAAGTAATAAGTTGTCGCAGTTAAAGACTGTTTCGCTGAGTTGAATCGCACGTGAAAACCTCGTGAATTGTGATGATGCAACCATCTACCACAATGATAAGAATCCTGCTATTTCTTAACTACTCGAATTCGATCAGTCACATTTTGGCTTAAGAAACTCCGAGGAAAGCTTAGACTTTTCCTTCTAATCAACGTTTGGTGAATAGATATTTATTTTACTTTAGTAATTTGTTTAACATGCACCAAATATAACAGGAAAGACAGAGGAAAGTGAATATATAGCATGAGGATCGACGCAGCTGAGCGTTTCGCGTTTTCATTTTTGTACGGCAATACCCAATTTCGCACAAAAACCCAGTCTACATTTAGGACGAAAAAGGTAGATTCATCACTCTTGGTAAGGTTACACTGAAGCATTCAAAATAGCTCATGCACGTTTAACGTGCCTATGTTTCCCTAACGCTACTGTTTCTACTAAAGTTACGCATCTTTACTAAATAAAATACGTTTCAATAACTATAATATGTTCAGAAATGCACGCATTGGCGAAAATGGCAGAAATGGCGATTAATCGCCGAAATCGCCAAACTGTAAACAAAAATTCAAATGAGTTGGCAAAGGGGCCCTTTGGAAACTGGCGATTTTGGCGAAAATGGAGATTAAGGTGTCTCGATACAGTTTTTCAGGGCCAATACCTCCCAAGTTTGAGCATAAACTACGTCGCCATAAACAAAGTTTTGGAAAAATTGCCACTACAGTTGTATTAGATGAAGATGGAAATTTGTTATGATCAGGGTTGCAACGGGATCGGAGTTGTCATAGCAACGAAATGACGCTATTACCTATTTTACTTGCAGCAGTATATCTCGGCACTAGGAACTGTTCTTTGAAAATCATTCACGGGAGCTTTTTCCTCCAATAGCAGCCTCGACGTTCGTGAAGTTTAAGCGAAATCTGAAAGAGCGTTGTCGAGAAATTTTGGGATAAAGAGTTTGTGGTTAGAAATACGGTAAAAAATGGACAATCTTGCTGTTCGGCTGTTATCTGTAGAAAAAGAAGCGCTTTTGACATGCAATTTCACCTCATGGTAGTTTGCTAGAAAGAAGGATTTGATTAGTATGTATCGAGGCGCTCTGTTAGCGGTTTTTTGAACATTTTGGTCTACACTTTAACAAATTAGCGAATAATTTTTAAACCGCTCGATACATTTTTTAAAAAATTTAATATTCTTGAGATTAACCTTCCTTTTATATGACCTTTTAGTTTCAAGATTATTGATGTATTGTAAGGCAGTAAAATAAGGGCTACAATTCGCCAATATTTTGGCAGAAATTTTGTGTTTACAAGTGTGAGCCTCTCATTATTCAGGGTATTGTGTCCAAGCTTCATATTTTCGTGCACAACAATAGCTAGCATTTTTGCATATTTCAAATGCATTGTTAGTTACTGCTGTTGACGTGAAAATGAAACTTGGAGACAATGCCTTGAATAATTAGAGGCTTTCACTTGTAATAAGGAAACTTCCGATAAAAAAGTAACAAATTGTAGCCCTTATTTCACTGCCTTACAACATATCAATAATCTTGAAACTAAAAGGTCGTATAAAAGGAAGGTTAATCTCAAGAATATTAAATTTAAAAAAAAAAATCCATCGAGCGGTTTAAAAATTATTTGCTGATTTGTTAAAGTAGACCAAGATGTTTACAAAACCGCTAACAAGAGCGCTTCGATACATACTAATCAAACCCTTCTTTCTAGCAATTGGCTGGAGCTATCTCCCATGATCTTTCACCCACGCTTTTAACAAGATTGAAACTACTATGAGGTGAAATTGCATGTCGAAAGTGCTTCATTTTCTACAGATAACGGCCAAACAACAATATTGTCCATTTTTGCTGTGTTTCTAACAATTAAAACTTTATCCCAAAATATCTCGATAACGCTCTTACAGATTTTGCTTAAACTTTACGCACATCGAGGCTGCTACTGG